CCTGCGTTTGCTGTGGGACAGCACTGTGCGTGCAGCCAGGTAATGCAGATAAGTTGATGGGCCCCAGCGCTGCGGTCTAGCTTTGCAACAACTCGTCTTCTGTAACCATACTATAAACTTCCCTGCTTATGGAGGAGGTGCTATGCAGCAGGCAGATCCCACCGAGGGGCTGAGCAGATACTCTTGAGCACATCAGCTTTGTACTTAGGAGAGCACAATATTCTATTAATTTATTTTCCCCCGTGTAAGAACAGAATTTGGGACTTACATTTTTTAAAACTTCTGTGACAGACAGTCAGTACTTTTACAAAATACTCAGAGGAAAGTGAGAGGTGGTAAGATATCTACAGCAAAGCAGCAATGCCTGGGGGTTCCAGACATCACTTTCTGGCTTTGCATTCGTGATTGCTCATGAGGTACCATGCTCAGTGCCAGGGCCGAGATCTTGTCCTTCGCAATGTCTCACAAGTTTTTTGAGGGAAGTGAGTACCAGGTACTATGAGTTCGGTGTTGTAAAACCTTTTTGACAACTGAGAATAATTCTGTGCCTATTAATTTGGCTTACGTGGGTGATTTACAAGCTTAAAGAGTGATGCTGCCCTTTTTTACCTTTGATTATTTCCATTAGAGAGGTTACCTATGATAGCCAAGAATTTCTTTGGCACAAAGCTTGGCAACTTCAGGCACGTTTTGCAATGTCCTTGCTTATAGAGCCAAGCCCAGTGGTCTTTTCAAACATCAGCTTATCCAATATCTTTGTGATTTTCTTGTCATTAATGTTTTTTTGGACAGCATCTTTCTTTTCACTTCTGGATACTGCATGTTTTCCATTCTCAGGCCTCTTAATTTACAGTCACAAAAAATCTATTTTGTGCCTACTGCCTGTGCTTTGGGCAGCTTCTATTATTTCACTCCAAGGAAAGGTTTAATTCTTCTATATATTTATTCCAAAGGGAGAGCAGCTTCCATGCCTATCAGTGTGCACAGCCTCTCACCTCTGCCATAACAATAAGCAGAGAGTACTAATAGAATCATAGAATCACAGAATGGTTTGGGTTGGAAGGGACCTCAAAGATCACCTAGTTCCAACCCCCCCAACTAGGGGGATTTACTAGTAGTAATCTTCAGGAAAGCCTTTAAAATTGAATTATTCAAAGAGAAGATCACTGATCTTACAAAACTGTTCACTGTCAATATCGATTAGCTAATGAAAAGACTGGACATTTTCCATTGGCTGTCAAGGAATTTTCGGATCTTTATTCATTCCAGTCAGAAATGCTGGCTGATCTGTGAGAAAGCAAAGCCATAGAGAAAACTCCTGAAACAATTCACTGGTAGTATCAACAGCGGGATTCATCTCCCATGGCCTGGCCTAAAGTGTAGGATGTACACAGGTTATAAAGAAGCAGCATGGGATTAACATAGGCAATACCTGTGTATAGGCATATTTGAGGTAAGCTGTGAAATACTGACAGGGCAATTCAGTGTCCTGGATTGCAGAATGGTCTCTGGGCAGCTGGGAATACCACTGATACATTGGCAGCTCAGATACCACTGAGACTTTCTTGTAAAGTAGCATGCACAGGTTCAGTACTTGAATTTTTTACAACAGCATCTTTTGTAAGGACTAGATCAAAGACCAACCTGTATCACTGTGCAGGAACTCAAAATCTATGGAAACATTTCAAAGACATTTGATAAAATATTCTGACAAAAGCATATGTTGCCAGGATTGCTTGAAGGTAGCACTTGATCTTAAAATCAGAGCACGCCAACACAAATGCAGTAGATTTCTTTGCTCCTTTACGCCTTCTTTGCTTTACTTGACTAAGTGGTAGAACATAAACATCTACACTTGATATGCTCTGACCCAAACATTAACAGGAGTGATAATGCCTCTGAAGAAGGTTATCAGGAATATTATTTTACTATAAAATCTCAGCACGGTGGTCTTTTTTGGATGTAACTATGAGAACACTATGGCCAGACTTATACTCAGGGGAAACTGGGTCTGGAAGGGACCTCAAAAGGTCATGTAGGCCATCCTCCTAAGGTTCATGCCTGATTCGATTTGGCCTAGATCATTCCAGCTTATTTAATTAATCTGCACTGAAGCATCTCTGATGTTGAAGACCTCACATGACATCACCTGCTGCCCCAGGCAGTCTCTTCTACTGTTCTCACTGTTAAAAAGATTTTTCCTAATGTCCAGACCCAAACTTTTGTGCTGCAATTTTCTTTCTTGTCCTCCCTACTTCAAACTGACCTTAGTATAATGCTGGAGGGGAAGTGGGAGAAATACATTAAGCGATTTTGGGGGTAGGAATAGCACTTTGTGTGGGCGCAGCTTTTTCTGACAAAGTTTTTGCGGGTACCATTTCTGTCTCTCTGAGAAACTGGAAGGGTCTCTTCCAGCTAAAAACTGCACAAATTGGCACAGCTGTCCTTGCAAACCACTGGTAGAACAAATCTGACCTAAGTACACACTCAGGTAGTGTCAAGGCTCTGTATTTTTTGCTTCACATAAACATTAATCTCTATTTAATTTGAGAGAAGTTCTGGGCTGATGTCTCAGAAGAAGTGAGAGCGGCAGGTCCCTTTTGCAATGGTCCAGGGACTGTACTGCATGGTATTTCAAATTAAAATGTGTTAAGATGATAAATATTGATAAATATTGATTAAATAGTAAAGTGTGCATGATACTTACCATATCATGGGGACAATATGCTGGCCAGAGACACTGAGGCAGAAGCAAGTTGTAGTCATATACATTTTTACAGAGGATGTTCCTGGCCAGCCCCAGATCCATCAGGATTTGGGAGGACTGAAGTTATCCTTCCTGCTGTGAATGCCACGTGTCCCCCTTCAGGTTTGGCTGAAGGGATTTCTAGACAGCACTGATGAGGGGGGTGTAGTTATACCTCGTGAGGACTCAGCAAAAAGGCCATTTTAACTCATGATTCTCATTACTGCAGTTCAGTGGCTGGCAGAAGTCTTCATGTCTGCGTCCACATCTGCTTGTTTCATGTAATGGCACACAGAGTTTCAGGGCAGATGTTTATATTTCAAAGCAGGATGCTCGTATTTCTCCTTCACCCTGTCCATTATATGTGGGCAGAAACATTCCCTCTTCTGTGGGCTTGCAGAAGCACTTTGTATCTGGATATCTTTCTGTCCAGATAGAGAATAAAGAATGCCCTAAGGCACGTGGGGTGATGCCAATTACACTGACATCAAGGATATGTATTTGCCCTTCTCACACTAGTCTGAGCTGAACCCATTAAAATATAATGATGTGCATATATAGCAATCTTGCAGTAACTGCTGAGCTATGCTCATGTTTTCTGAGTCCTCATATTATGGTCTCAGCATGTGATGTTTGTGTGCTGCACTAGTCCACATTTTTCTGCCCTTTTTTTAAATTCTGGGAAACGTTTCTAAAGATATTAATGTTTTTGAGAGCTCATGGACTTTGATTATTCAACTGGGCCAACCTTTGGGTTATGACTCAAATGTTTCTGAAGCAATGTTGATGGAAAAATTCATGGACTTGCTTTTGTCTCCTCCCTAGAGTGTGCACTATCACCACAGTAGAGATCTGGAAACTGACAGCTCAACATCTGGAACAAAATCCCTACCAAACTCTGTGAAAGAGTATTTAAACCAGAGAATTTAGCTGCTTAGAGGCCATGAGAGAATTCTGTTGATTTGTAAAGAGCAGTTGTCTTGTGCTCTAAGTGTTTTGACATATCTTCAGCTGCTATAAATGAGCATCATCAGTGAAAGAAAACTTCTTTAAAATTCTTGAGAATTTGGCCACATATCAATGAAGTTTTTAAGCCAAAAAAAACCCCAAACCAAACCCAACCCCCCCAAGCATATCAGTTATGTTTGTCCTGGCGTTGTATCTAACAGGCATTGGCATTTAGCTATTCTAAGAGTACTATAGATTAGATTATTTTAGAGTTTGGGGATTTGCTTTTAATATGATAGTATTTTTTGATAAGTTGAGGCTATCCTTTCCAGACAACACTGGCATTTAGGTACCATTGATATCCATGACCCTCTCCTCAGTGCAGGACCGACTTGACTAAGATACCTCTCTATTTTAGGGATCTAAATATAACACATGGGGTCCATCTGCGTGAAAGCAGCCTTCTCCCTTCAGCCACTTGATGTTATCTTCAGCCTGAGGATGTTATCTGACTTCTTCTTAAGATCCAAAAATATTTGTTAAGACACTAAAATCAATACCTTGCAGCAATTGTAGACCTTCTGTAACTTCTTTCCAGCAGCTTTATTAGGGTGAATTTGTGCTTGATCTGATTGGCCAGTTTTCCCAGTGTGCTTGATAATGGTATCATGGAGTAGCATACTTCACGAGATCATCTTTATTTTATGCTGTATTTTCAGGACAGCAATTCAGTTTGCAGGCTTTTGGTTTTTAACAGGTATTAGGGAAATACACATTGAATGTGGAGGTGTGTTATCAGGTTATGTGAAAATCATTCCTGTTATAGAGTCAGTGTTACAGCATCACTGCCTGTATCATACCCATTCCAGGATTTCTGAAGAATTCCCTGGTACTGTTATTTATTATTGCCTGACAAGTACAGTCAGCATGAGGTAGGGTTATTTGTGCAGGTGGAGCCAGTTCTGGTATCCTTACTCATTGAAAGATAAACGTAACTACTGCTAGAGTGTGGATAGATTTTCTGAAACACTGAATAACACAAACTAGCAAGGGGATGCTTTGCATCACTGTAGCTTGGCCAGGATGGTCTCCTATAGCATTAACTTGTCATCCTGGTGAAATTTATGTTTTGCTCTCTTGCCACCTGCTGATTATAACTGAAGTATGAAACACATTCTCTTTCTGAAGCACTAAATAAGTGCAATAAAGTGGCTTCTCCACAAACCCTTAATAAAATTTTAGAAAAAAACCCCACCTACCACACAAAATGCTAAAATGTTTTAATTTTTTTTATGTTTATTTTTAGTCTTGGAACTGAACCAGATTATTATTCCCACTTATGGAACTGTGCCGGATCAGCAAAACCTTCATACTCCTGAATGGGTGGGTACTTCTTTGCTTTAACTATGACTACCTATAATTTTTTCTCTTATAGATATGCAACAATCAGTAGCTGTTCCAGAAGACTAGCATTCCTTTGCATTTGCAGCACATGCAGTTCATCTGTGTGACTGAATATGAGTTGCTGTATCTCTGTTTCCCTAAAGGTACCTGAAGTCATTGACTCAGATGTGAAAGTGCAGGTTGACACAGTCACTGGGCTCAATTAAAAGTGACCAATATATATTCACTGTATGCTGATACACACACATACACCTCCTCTCTATATATAATTTTGTACATGTATAGGATTTCTGTGTGTGTATTCAAGGATAAATAGTTATGAACATACCCTACATATAAACACACATACCATATAGATTTATACACACTCAGGTATTAGTTGGCCAACACGGGAGTTCAGGATTCATTTTTACAGAAAGCTTAGAGACACCAAGGAATTCCTTACTAAAGTAGCAAGAAGGAAAAAGACCTGGAGGTGTCCATTGCCTTCAGCCAAAGTTCAAGTTCCCCAATGTTTTCTGTGGCCTAATGTTTTCTGCAGCAAACAGGCTTCTTCTAGCTCAAGATCTCCTGCCTCAGATCTCATTTATCTCTAAGGACTGGCCAGTTGACCCCAACAGGCCCTGCCGTGGCACACACTGTGCCAATGTGATGCCCAGCTGGCGTGCTGATGTGTCCAATTTTTTTTTTTCCACTAGAATGGTACAAGTGTGGTCTGCACTTGCACAATGGGATAGCTATAAATCTGGATTCAAAAAGGTGTAAAATTATATACTTATCCTATAGCTAATAGAGCAGCTCCATATAAATAAATAAAAAAGTCTGATTTGTGTTTCATTAATGACAGAGGTTAGTGTCACCGGCTTTGGGTTTGTATAGGTTGCTGTTCAGGCTACTTCTGCAGGTGGCTCAGTGTTACAGGAGAGCAAGACATAAAGAAACAGGTTCAACAGTGTCAAGAATTGCTCGTTGGACCAATTTTCAGCACCCAAGATCTTCATGATGGTTTTCACACAGATAAATCTTTCAAGAAACTACTGTAATGGTGGCACCAAGTAATGAGAGCTGGATCTAGTTCCCAGTTAGCCGAGTCCAAGGCACTGACATTTAAAATATCAGCTATTTACAAATAACTGAACCTGCCTGTGCATTTCATTCACCACTGTCTACTAGATACTACTTCAGGAATGACAGCCACCTACTGCTGCTACCAGTTATCCCTCCAGTTTACACAGAGAAGGTCTGTGTTACGACTGCGGAGGTCCAGATCCTGCTGATTTCTCTGTCTATAAGGAAATACATTGTTTTCTTTATATAACTAGGAGAACATACAATACACTGAAAAATGAGCATTCAAATTCAAGGGGATGAATTAAGCCAGCCCTGTCTTATGTAGATATTATGATGGGAGCTTTCTAGATAATTTATTTTTCATCCTGGCCATCAAACCGAAAGCTATTTTGATTCATATTAAACTGAAATGGGAAACAGAATCATAAAAGAAAGAGGCAAAGGATTTCCATAGTGGTAATGTGTTTCAAAAGCAGTGTAAATGAAGGGATAGATTTGGTCTTCATTGCAGCAAGGTGCACCAGAGCCTTGGGGAGCTGCTCTAGCAGCTTAGCTGGCAAAGTATATATCATAGTTATGGGTCAGGGGATTTTGTTCTTGCCTCTGCTGTAGGAAACAAATACCCAAAGTACCAGGAAATTAGTTTCCTTTTGGGAGCTGGATACCCTCACCTCCCTTGCCCCAGTGTTTTGCAGCAGGGTGCTCTTCGTTAGAAGCTGCTTTGGTCTCTAGAAAAAGATTTAAACATTTTTTGAACCATGAAGTGGAACCAAGAGCTTCCATTTCCCAGCTGTGTGGCCTGAGTAGAATGTTAAAAAAGTCCTTCTTAGACTCTCCTTGTTGTTCAATGAAAATTTTTTTCATGGATTTATATGAAGTGAAATAGCATCAAACCAGCCCGAATGTCATATACCTTGTGGTTAGAACAGTCTCTTCCAAGAGTCTTGGTAGAATTTATTTTTATTTCTACTGAAAATCAACTGTCAAAATCAATTTTTATTTTTGGTTGCTCATGTTTACCAGCAGCTGGAATTTCTGCTGTTTTAGAAGCATCTTTCCTGCACTGCTCCTTCCATGTCAGGTCCTCCTTGTCAGCCACTGGGCAGTTTCAGTGGGTTGGAGGGGCGAAAGATAAAATTGCAATCTACTGAGCCTGTCTGTGAAACGGATGAGTGCTAATTGTAGCTAGAAATGGAAACTGAATGGGAAGCCTAACCTTACACAATTGAATAGAAGGGAAGTACTGTGTCTGTTGTCTAAACAGAGATCATGCTTTGCAGCTGGAAGTATTCTGGAAACTTGATTTGATTTTGCAAGTTGTCCTGGAGTAGCCAAAACTGAGTAAGTTATTGGCTAATAGAAATGGTCCCGTTCTTGTTCTGGTGCTGTCTCTAATTATAGGATCACATGCTAAGTTTGCCGCAAGATCCCTGCCTCATTCAACACGTGAGTAGGACATTAATCTCCAAAAAGCCCAGATTCTGTGAGGATGTTGTTTGTAGTACTTCAGCAAGGTGTAAATGTGGCAGGAAATTGCAGGGAAAAAATGAAAGGTTCTTATGACAAGAGAAACTGAGCGCAGTCCTAGATAATTGGATTTTATCCCTGCTTCTCCTATAGGGTTTCTGTGCAAGACTTGCAAAGTCACATCCAGCTTTTGTTTATTTCCTGAGTGACCCTGTTCGCATCAGTTGAAAATAGTCGCATACTGCGGACCTGAAAGTGAGTGGATTGCTCTTTGAAGAGAGAGAATTGCTCAGCTCTCTGGAAAGATGTCAGGTCCTGGTGTCTCAAGCTACAACTCCAAATTTAGGAGACAGTCAACAGGTTTTGGCATTGGTCTCTAGATACCTTATGTGATCACTATTGAAATGAGGGTTATACTCTTACTTTCTCTCCTGGGGGATCTTGTAAAATTAAATTTCTCAACATTTGTAGAACATTGAGATTCAACAAGGAGAGTACCACAAGCATAGTCAGAAGGAAATCCCTATTTTAATTGTTTGGGCTATTTAGATGAGGTGTAACAAAAAAAGACATTCAATAAAGAAGATAATAAGGAGTATTCCATAATTACTACAAGGACGGTAGAAGTATGGTATGTGGTTGTGCAATTCATGTATTGTAAACAGTATGTGCAAGGAAGACAAAACTGCATGGACAGCATTAATCCAAGCCTTTTCCAGCTCTCAGATGTTTATTTTGCAGTCTTACCTGCTTTATAGGTAGATAGTTTGAATTTGAATGCAACAGTAAGATTTTTTTTGAGAGTCAACATCTGAAAGGGGAGGCTAACTTCTTCAAATTGTCTATTACTGCTGCCCCTCAAATACAATTTCTGCAGCGAGAAAGCTTAAGGGAAGCCTGAAAGAGTGAATTTCCCAGCTCCTGCATCCAGAGAAGGATGGGAGATGCTGAAAAGCAGCAGGTTTTCAGCAGAGTACTGTCTTCCACCTTTCTTTAAAAGTAGGGATGTTTGGTCTCTAATCAGGAGTGACTGGAATTCCTCCTGCAGCCAGCAGCAAGGTGACGCTCAGACAGGAAGTCAAGTGGGTGTCTGGTCCAAACTTAGCGCAGGGGACAAGGCATCCCGATGCCTGGCCGGTTACTAACCGCTTTCTGCTGACAGGAAGGTATGACTGTAATGACACCCCGCATTTTTCTACTCTGTCTTTAGTCTCAGTTTATTTCAGTTTGTTACATATCAAAAATTTCTTTGCATGTTGAGGAAGCGAGAAGAAACCCTTCTGATTAAGTGCTTGCTAATAAGCTCATTGTTGCTAAAACCAGAACTGAATCAGTCCTCTGTTGTTATTAGCAAATATGAGTCACAAGGGCAAATGTTAAAGGCACCACAGTTTTATGGCCCATGGAGACAGACCAACATTAGTATGTGATATGCAAATAAACTTATATCTTCCAGAAGTATCTTATATATTATATATATCTTATATGTTACAGAAGTAAATGCTTGTGTTGGTCTCAACGTCAGAAAGTTGTCTCTATTGGTCACTCAGAACATAAAGTAATAAAAGATCTTGTTATACAGCTATGATAGTGAGAAGAACTTTATATTTCTGTAACATTTTCTTCAGATAAGCTCAAAGCACTTTACAAATAATTATGTTTCATGATATCCTGGTAATACAATTTGTTTCCTTTTTATTTACTTGATTTGAAGTTTCCTGAGACCTGTAGAGAGAAATAACTGTGCTTGTAAACAGGCACTCTGAAATTTTCACCTACGTAAAACCCACAACTGAAGTGTAACTTGCGGGTCCCCCACAAGGCTGTCGCTGTGGTCCAGTGGGAGGATTTTTTGCAGGTCCCTGTCAGCAGAGGCGATGTTACACAGGCTCGGCTCTGCTCTCTTGTTTCCCGGTACTGATTTATTCCCTGGCGTGCTGCAGGAAGCTGTTTTGAAGCATATCTGAAAAGTACGTGAGGTTGCAGACAAGTAGTTTATCCCTCCAGTAATAATTACATTTGGTGCTATTGACAATCACACCAAAGGCTCGTGCGGACAAAATAAAGCTCTTCCTTTGTCCTTACAGTTAGATAAGTCATTCCTGCAGAATCTCTTGTTATTTTTTAAAAAAAATCAGCTTGCAATACTGTGCTTGTTCAGGGTGTAGTAAACAATAAATAACTGCAATTCCTATGCACACTTTTTTCTTCATGCTTGTCTCCGTGCTGCCCTTCCCACCATTATCTCCACTGAATGTTTAACAACATAATGCCCAGAGAAGCCTGGAAAAGAGAAGGCAGGTCTCTTTTGTAACGCCACCGTTACTTCTCCTCTGGCATGGAGCATTGCTGTTGTTGAAGGGAGCTTCCCACTAGAGTGGTCTCCTTTCATCTGCTACAGGCATCATGTGTATCCATGACTACAGGAATGGTATCAAAAG